CTTTTTATTAATGATTATTCTGATATATTTCCTAACTTAATTAAATTGATTAAAATAGTATATAGTATTCCTTTTTCTTAAATACAGTAACTTTAGATATGTTAATGTGAGTATCTTTGGAGGGTCCACCAAGTAAAGGATTTGATTTCAATAGAGCATATACTATCTGGAGTACATGAATAAAATTTAATTATAAATAAAAATTTATTATTTATATTTACAAATAAAATTTTTTTTTGCCAGAAATCTTTCTTTCCTATTGTAAAAAAATTTGTCAGAAAAATGAGAATTCTGCCAGAAACAACCGGCAAATTAAAGTACCTTTTGTACAGTGGTTGATCACTTGATTTTAATAGTGTGTGACCCTGTGTGACCCCCTTATGATACTCTAAAAGAAAAAAATTAATATAACCAATTAAAAAGAAATATCTACCCAAGGGGTGGAAAAAATAGAAAGAGCAAAGAAAAAAAATGTTGAGCAAAATAATAATCTAAAGTATTTGCATCAAAAAAGAGACATGTAAAAAGAAAGAGAAGTATAATTCTTTATTCCACAATGTTAGGTTCATCATCAGCACCAGCTGCCAAACCAGAATGATCTTGTTCAACCTCTTTGGTAGTGTTAACTGCAATTTCTGCCAGCTTTGGAATTTTTATTTTGAATGTTTTGCAGATTTTCTTTTACTTGATGATTTTTTGTTGTTGGAATTTTCAATTCTTTCAATCACAGCACTCAATGGTGATGATGATGATGATGACAATGACTTTTTAGCATCCTTCTGGCTTGCCCACTCCCAGCCAACCTTTGGTGAGCTCAGAACAGATGATGGTGATTTTGCCTCAACAAAATTTACATATGTGATCCGAATCATCAAACACATGTCTTGGATCTCCAGATTTCCTGTGGCAAACAACATACTTCCCCTTTTGATCATAGAGGTTGTTTTTTGGAGATGCTGGTCAATGTTTAAATGGCACATTGTAAAATTCATTGATATCATAGATTCAATGTATTCACTGGAATTTATTTTGATAGTGTGTAGTAACTCTGTAATGTTTGGAGGATGAGGATCCATGGTTGTGGCATTCATTGACTCATGGGTAAAATTACCAGATCTGAAAGAACCACCTAAAAAATAAAATCATTTGTCAGTTTCATCCTTTGTGTGGGAGAAGAGGGAGGTCAATATTTTCATAAGATTCTATACCTTTATGACCTGTTCATCATCTTCATTTTTTTTAATTACAAATTTTCCAGATATTTTCACCACATCATTTTTTGAAAAGCATTCCAATGAACATGAAACTTTGGCATCCATTGGGTAAAATCCTACCAGGTGTAAAGGTACCTCATCTTCCTGATATTTCACTCTACAGATACCAATGGCATTGACTACAAAGTATTTCCCATTCACTGGTTTTTCATTGTGATCATTCACATAAACAATTGTATTGAGGGTGTTTGACATTATTATGATTATGATTATTGTATTGTTTTTTATTTTTTATATTCAATAGCAATAGGTTTGAAGGTTTGAATTTATTATTTATTTATTACATACAGTCAGACCTCCATAAATACACCCCCCTTGGGACCAAGGGACAGCATGCATTTATGGAGAGAAGCAATTTCATTGGTCACGAATGATACACAGTATTTTAAATACAGTAATACTAAAATAAGCATAGTGGAAGTTTGTTGTTACACGAAAAGTTATACAAAACTCATTGCTTCTGAAACTTTGCCGGTACAGTCGAACCTCGTTATAACGGACATATTGGTTTGGCCTCAATGGTCCGTTATAACGAGGTATCCGGTAACCAAG